CACTCAACCACCAAAGCTCCTCTCGTGCCAATGCTCTGCTCTGTTGCCACTTTACTGCAAACAACACAGTTCTGATGCCCTTGTGGCACTGCACATGGAGAAGGCAATTTCCCTTTTTGTTTACCATCACATACGCTGCTAGAATAAAAAAAAAAATGTATAATGGACCTGTATTGCTCCACATTCTAGCAGCCTGGATCCCCTCTCAAAGCCAGCCAAGCGGTAGAGCTACGAGTGGCAGGTCTCCCCCAGCACGACGCTGCGTTAGGCACACAGCAGCTCTGGAAAAGGTTTGGCTCCTTGACCTGGGATTCTGGTGTGTTTGAACCCACTGCAAAACCTTGTGTGTGTAACGCTGATATAATGTTAAAATCAAAGGAGAATTGGTGGCAACTCACAGAAGAACAAGGATGTTCTTTTTTTTCATTTTTTCATTGATGATCTCATTCTCTATGACAAAACCGTTCAAAGAACTTTTCCTTCTTTATCGAGTAAAATTATAAACAAAAAAAAAAGGATTAGTAAGAAAGAGAGGCGCTTTAAGTCTGTAAATGCTCCATAAAAACTACCAACCCAGCAAGTCTTATCAGGTATTTGCCCCAGGAATTAGGAAGTTGAGTTTAATGTATTTGAACAGTATGCAAGGGAACACACTAGCAGCAAATCGCTCTTCTCTGTCTTCAGCAACTCTAGCCATTCCTAGCACAAATGCAGAGAGAAGGACCAAGCAACTTCACTTCATACCTCAGCATATGCTAATTTTAGGGCCACGCAACTTAAAAACACAACTCTTCAAGGATAAAGCAGCAGAAGGTAATTCTCTAGCATGCAGTCATATTCCCCTTTATTTTCATCTCACCTTGAAACATCATCATTCTCAGGAGAGAAGACAAATACTAGTAGAGTGTTAAGTCAACTTAAAACCAAGGTTTTTACATTAACCACTATTTCTTACACTAACTTCACCCCTCAGTTAGGGAGACATAGAAGAGTTCAAAGCAAATTGCAAAGTGTTTGCTCTAGCCAGAAAACAGCCAACTACTACCTGCTGCCAGCAATTAAACATAGTTCGCTGTTCCCTGGCCAGACCAAACTCTTGCAGCAAATAATTACAGCTCTTTCCCATTCCTCTGCCCCAGGGGCACCATGCTGCTGCTCTTATCTGCAAAGTGATATTTAACGCCTTGCAAAAGTATGAAAAACTTGCATAAAGAGACAAATGGGGCCTTTAATCCACATGCATGTTTTGGTGCTATTAGCAGTGCTATAGTAGAGCATGAGTCTTCATCAAAGCTCAAGTTCTCACGTGATTGTGGGCAAACAGGCAAGGATAGCCTCTACCGGGGTCTCGGTTACAGAAGGGACAGCCAGAGGGGCTGCAGACAGTAACAGGGATGGACACAAAACAAATACCAGTTGCATGGAGGTAGAAAATGGCACTGAGACTTGGGGAAGCTGCCAGAAGTAGCTAGGGACCTTCACAGATCTTTAACACGTGCCTTTACATGAAGGACCTGATACAAGCCCAAACATTCCTGTTTCTCTTCGGCATGTGTACGTACATCCATGGCTCAAATGTTACAGAAGTGTCCCTCTTAGGACAGAGAGAGAAGAAAAAGAGCAAAAAGAGAATGACAGTGTGAGTGGGAGAACAGAGCAAGTGGGAAAGCAATTAAAAAAAAAAAAGAGATGAAGAAGAGTTTAACACAAAAATAAAAGTGG